AGGTCATATAAAAGAACAAAAGCTCAGTTTTCAGAAGCTATTATTGTGAAAATAATTTGATTTTAAATCGGTTTAAAAATAAGTTTTATTTTGATTTTCGTCTTAATAATAATATTAAAAAGTTTATCACAAACATTTCGATTTTCTAGAGCCAAAAAACGAGGAGGCCGCGATAGTATAATTGCGATGCTGTTTTTGGTCGAAATTGAGCAATTTTGGCACGAATTTCGCGGCGACCCGACTCATGCCCAAATAATTACTTACAATCGATATGTTTAGGTCCTCAGTAACTTTTCCAACGATGATTCGACGATTAGCCACTAATATTTTCTTCACTTTATCAATGTTATCGTCTGTTGTTGACGTGCTCGGGCGTCCGGCACGCTGTTTGTCGTTCAAATTTTCTCGGCTCTCTGATAACATTTTGTACCACCGATTAACGTTGCTTTGGTCCAAGGTAGCTTCACCATATGCTACAGTCAACATTTGGCATGCGTCCGCGCACTTTATTTTGTTTTTCACACAAAATTTAATACAGATTCTTTAATCCATTTTTTAGAATAGGCAAAAATCGAAGTCGAGCCAAAAAATATATCCAAGCAAAACAGCTCTCAAAAATTAACTAAACATTCAAAATGGCCGACCTTGTCAGTATAAGTAAGGGACATGAGTACCAACATAACGCTACAAAAAAATCAAAAATCAAATTTACGTAGCCAGCGGAAATTCAAAATTCGCGATACTTTTTGAAGACCTCGTATGTTAGCTGATAGGTTTTTAAGGACAAATTAACTTTTAATTACTTTAAATAAAATATTTTTGTAATAAAATAAACTGTATCACCTTTAACGCATCCTCTTACTGATCGAATTTTTCAAAATTATTTCATAGCGGATTTCTACGTCATAAAATGTAGCTTCCTACTGTCGAAATTTTAGATTTCTACTTTAAGCGGTTCAGGTTGAGCTTGTGCATTGGTGGATGAGTTAGTCACTCAGTGTAGTTTAGTATCTAATACTCAGTATATAAAGAGTACGAGGGCGGCACTGAAAATTTCGGGAATCAAGGAAGTGACACAACATTACTATTGAAAAATGTATTTATTGCTTTTCGAAGTATTCTCCGCGAAATTTGACACATTTTTCCATACGATGGAACCGATCATTGAAACAACCATTCCATTCGGAAGTTGGGGTCTCCAAAATGGCCGTTTTGTAGGCGTCCACAGCTTTTTCAGGTGATGAAAATCTCTGTCTGTCTGAGTTACATAGGCTACTTTTTCCGCGGAAAAACATCTCATTCCCGTTCCCGTTGGAAAAATTCTATTTTCCCACGGGAATGGGAATGAGAGGATTTGATTAAAAAAATATTTAAAAGGAAATTTAATTCCTTTTAGGTATTTAAATTTTTTTTTTATAAATAGGTTTTTTGTTACTTCATAATGCCTCGCAAACGTAAGTCCAGCCTTTCAAGAGTATCTTCTCAAAGACAAGCGAAAAGATTAGCTCGATCGCTAGAATTTTTAGAAGATCTGAACTGAGAAGGCAAGAACAAGCAGAGCGTCAGGCAGCTTTTAGAGCAGCTGAGACACCTTCTCAACGTCAGCAAAGGCGTCTTGAAAAGACAGAGCATCAGGCTGCTTTAAGAGCTTCCGAAACACCTTCTCAAAGTCAGCAAAGGCGTCTTGAACAGGCAGAGTGTCAAGCTACCTTAAGGGCTACTGAAACACCTGATCAAAGTCAGCAAAGGCGTCTTGAACAGGCAGAGCGTCAATCTACTTTAAGAGCTACTGAAACACCTGCTCAAAGTCAGCAAAGGCTATTCGAACAAGCGGAACGTCAGGCCGCCTTAAGAGCCGCGAAACACCTGATGAAACTCAACACAGACTCATTGAGCAAGCTGAACGTCAATCTACTATAAGGGCATCTGAAACACCAGAACAGACACAGGCGCGAAGAGATGCAAATGCACAGCTCCAAGGTGAACGTCGAAAAAATTTTCAAAGAAACAATTGGTCGGTTTTTAATGACGCAGCATTCAATTATGATCCGTTGATTGATTATAAAAATCACAGGTTAGTTGTTATCGGACTGATGGACAAGGCGTGTTGATTCTGCAGTGTTTTAAAATGGAAAGATGAGACCGCAGGCATGTGTTGTTACTTGGGGAACCAGAAGAACCTTTGAAAACTCTCTTTTTATATGATGCTAATAAGTCACGGCGCTTTTTAAACAGGATCCGGAAATAAAACTCATGAATTCAAATGACGTCCTTCGGAGTTGACCGGGAATTAATAATGCCGGGATTTTCGCCTACATTTACGGTGCAAGGGCAAATTTATCATAGAATAGGTTCACCTTTTCTAGCTGAAAAGGAACAGCATAAATTTTTACAAGTATATTTTATGAGTGACGAAGAAATTGAGGTAGAACGTCGCTGCCAATTTATCCAGGGAGTTGAGAGAGACACAGTGTTCAAAATTCAAAGATTCTTGAATGAACGTAACATTTTAGTCAAACATTTAAAACTGCTTTAGAAAACCTACCTGAAGAGGATTATAAATTCGTCGTTCACGCAGATCGAACCACTCGAGGAGATCATGAAAGGCGCTACAATGCACCTTTGATAAACGAAATAGCAGCCGTAATTACTGGTGATCAATTTTCTTCACGAGACATTGTCTTGCGAGCACGTGATGATACGTTGCAACGGGTAGCCGATACACACAAGTTTTATGACGCTCTGCAATACCCATTGATTTATTGCAAAAGACAAGAGGGTTATCATTTTCAAATTCCACTCATTAACCCGGTCACAAAGGAGCCTACTCCGAACAAAAAAGTATCATGTATGGATTTTTATGCGTATCACATGATGTTGTGAGAAAATGATTTTAACCTCTTAGCCCGGTGTAGATAATTATTTCATCAATTTTTTGTAGACATGTATGTGAAGGAAGAAAGTGAACGTCTCCGTTATATATCTTTAAATCAAAAAAGCTGCGCGTTCAGAATTATATACATTTACAAGATGCAGTTTCTAGCGACGCCAATATAAACCCCAGAGGTTTAGGCAAAATGGTAATTCTGTCCTTATCATTCGTTAACAGTCCCCCCTACCTACATGAGTACACACAAGACGCATTCGCCTATGTACGAACTTACGGAAGACCTGATCTTTTTGTTACTTTTACTTGCAATCCTACATGGAAAGAAATAACCGAGGAGCTAATGCTGGGCCAAAAAAGTACTGAGAGACACGATTTAGTTGCTAGAGTATTTAGATTAAAAGTACAAAAGTTAATGTATGTAATTAACAAAGGGAAAATTTTCGGAGAGGTGCAGTGCTTCATGTATTCAATTGAATGGCAAAAAAGAGGATTACCGCATGCCCACATTCTAATATGGCTTAAAGAGAAGTTGCGGCCCAGCCAAATAAACGACATAATAAGCGCCGAGATTCCGGATCCTGAGCAAGATAAAGAATTGTATGATACCATCGTCCGAAATATGACTCACGGTCCATGTGGAGCACGAAATTCAATATCGCCATGTATGAAAGAAGGAAAATGTACAAAGAAATTCCCTAAACAGCTATTAAAAGAAACAGTGCACAATGACAATGGCTACCCTTTATAGAGACGCAGAGCTCCCGAAGATAGTGGCAGGAAAGTTACAATCAAATCTCGCTCTGGAGCATTCGAAATCTTAGATAACAGCTGGATTGTCCCGTATTCGCCCATTCTATGTAAAATGTCCGCGCAATCAAGTATATCTGTAATGACATAAATAAAGGAAGCGACCAAGCAATATTTAATCTCAGGAGTGAAGGTGAGGCAAATCCCGTTAATGAAGTACGGACCTTTCAAGCAGGGCGTTATGTCAGCAGTAACGAGGCAGCATAGCGTCTCCTTAGCTTCCCTTTACACGAAAGGCGCCCAATAGTTTCTCACCTTGCTGTGCACTTAGAAAATGGAGAGCGTGTATATTTCACCGAAAGAAATTTCAAAGAAAGAATTGCATCACCGCCAAAAATTACACTAACAGCCTTCTTTCAATTTTGTCAAACAGACCCCTTTGCAAAAACGTTGTTATATTTTGAAGTCCCCCCGCTATTATACTTGGAACACATCTAGGAAGGAGTGGAAACGCCGTATTCAAGGCGCGCCTTTTGCAAATTGGCCCTTTGTAAAGTCATCAGATGCCCTTGGTCGTGTGTATACCGTCCATGTAACTAATTTTGAATGTTTCTTTTTACGATTGCTGCTGCACCATGTTCGGGGTCCTACAGGATATAAAGACCTTAAAACTGTCAACGGTCAGGAATGCGCAACTTATAGAGAAGCATGTGAAGCTCTGTATTTTTTAGAAAACGATAATCATTGGGATGAAACCATGAAAGAAGCAGTGCAATTCCAGTCACCAGTCAAAATTAGGGATCTTTATGTAAATCTCATATCATCTTGCGGGCTATTTAATGCACAAGAATTGTGGGACAAATATAAAGAGTACATGGCGGAAGATATTTTGCGAAGGTTACAGCAGACACACGCGGTCATGACGTACAATGAACATACTTTCTTGACGTTATTGTTATAATGAAGACCTAGTAGTATTTAGTCCGAAAAATAGAAGTAGATATAAGTATATATTAAATAATATATATAAGTATATATAATATATAAGTATATATTAAATGCCAAATATACTGGACTTCACTTCGTTTATTTTTGTATATATTATTTTGTAAGGACGAGAAAAATGAAAGAAACACAAGGTTAGATTATTGCTAAATTATGTTAGGCTGACTAACGACAGTCACGTAATTGTTAAATATTGGTATTATGCCGGGGTGGGTTGGGACTGTAAATTGATTTGATCAATAAAGTTTTCATAACTTTGGTTTTGCCGTGCTTTTTAATTACTATTATTTTTCATACCTCTATTATTCTGGAATGGGCGAGAATCATCGCAGCAAGGTCTACCTCGTTGGTTGTCATGTCACATTGTTTTGTTATTGTTGACCTCTGCCCACTCCACCGTCACGCTGTATTTGGGCACTGTACGATCCCTATTATTAACCACGGCGATTATAACATATCCGTATTCCCCAATGGTCAGCTCGTTCTGCTTGAAGTTCAGTAACCGTGATTGGGTGGCCGTAGAGAATTTTTTCGGCAAAAGTTCTTTTTTCATATCAGTAATTAAATCTAAAATAATGGAATAGCTTGGATGTAAATTAAGTTTAGCTTAAATCTAAACTACTGGAATAGCTTGGATGTAAATTAAGTTTAGCTAATTGCGATAAAAGATTTTTTAAAACAATATTTATTAATTTTGGTTTAGAATCGGCAACAAGGGTGATTTCATAATATTCTACTGAATCTATTTATAACAGTAATTCATAACGGGACACAAACTCAAGGCGACTGTTAAATCAAATTTATCCATGTTAAAATTTTGTATTGTCTGGCCTAAATTTCATATAATTTCACTTTCTTTCAAATCAGATGGCGTAATTGAAGAATATTTTACAATATCTTTATACAACGAAAGAAAATTTGTGAATAGTTGACTATTAACTTCTACCGCTAGCGCTAATTTTATAATATTTTAATATTAAAATATTTAATTCTTGAAGATTTAATTTGATTGAACGTTTTCAAAGCGTTGCTATAAATATTTACCAATAACGTCAGTGAATTTTCTACTTCATCTACGAGAGAAAATAAATTGCTGGGATTTGAATTGCTAGTACAGACAATTTGCTCGTTTATTACGAAGAAAATTAAACACGACTCAGTTCTAAATTGAAATTTTATGTTTTATGTAAGTGTTGAACAGACTTAAATAAAATATTTTTATTGTATAAATGGGGAAGGGTAGGAGCGTAGGGACATTTTATTTTTCTAAAAAAAATTAATTATCGCTTATACATTTATACAGATCCTATAAATGACATAATAATTTTTAGCTTAAAATTTTATATACATGCTACAACTATGAATCCTAATAGAAATAAATAAATCTAAATAAACGTGGGGTGGTGATGAATGTCTAGTCGGCTCGACCGGGGAAGGACCACGCTCTCACAGATTACCAGCGTAAAATAGCAGCTTAATACTGCTGTGTTTCATATGGTGAGTGTAGAGAACCGAAGACCATCTTCAGGGGTGACAACGCATCTGCGTTTTAATTCCTAATCGAGGGTAAATTTAGATGTCTATGGCCCACAGCATCCACTAACCATCAGGTGAACTGTGTGCTCGTTTGTCACCCGTATTCTATAAAAAAAAGGAAATGGATTGTAATGAATTAACTAATGAAAAAAAAAAGCAAAATTCGTTAAACCAATCAAAAAATTATCGCTACCTCGGTAGGTGTTTATGCCAGTGGAATGTATTACTTAGAAAATTCGCACATATTCAACTTGCTGAGCAAAGTATAATTTTGTTGATAAATATCAGAGCGTGCACTGTTATGTTCCTGTTTAAGGGATATTTAGAGGGACAGTAAAACTAGAAGCTATGAATCATTCCATCTTAGTATTTAGAGGTGATAAACAAAAATGTAGTAGAGCCATGCTGCAACTATATTATGGTTTTAGCGCGAACGGGATAGATCGATCAGGATACTAGAGTAAAATAGCGGCTTAATGTTTCTTTTTTATGTTTTGTATAAAACAAGGCATATCACTCAGGGAAGGTAACACATATGCATTAAGAATCTTAATCCAGTATAGAATTCGTCTATAGACCACAGCATCCACTTAACATCAAATGGGTTATATGTTGAAGTTGGTAAAATTTCATGTTTGAAGTAGGCTACAGGTGACCATGGACTGCAGTAGTCACTTTCCAGCAGGTTCCTGTACATCGCAAATTACCTATAGTAGTAGTAAGATTCGATTCTTCATTGGTAACCGTATGAGGGAGGTCTAAGTCTAACAAAGAAGTTATGAAGCTGTGGGTGTTAGGATTATTTTTGAAATTAAGATATTTAATATTAATAAATAGATAGTTGGGAACTATAGCTAATCGCATCGCATATAACAAAATATAATAAAATAAAAGAAAAGTATAATAAAATAAAACAGTGGTAGAGCCACGCGGCAGATTTGCTGTTGCACGTATGGGCCGGCTAATTATTTATTTATTAAGGGCTGGGGGCCGTCGTGGATTTTAACGCTATTCGACATTTTCTGACAGTGTTCCCATGAAGTGGTTTGTGGCCAGTCCTTTCTTAATAAGATAAATATACAAATTAAATTTGCTATCGGGGTTAAATATAAATAGTCCACTACTCTACACAAGACAATCGACATTTGACAAGGAGAGGCATTGTGTTATAAGATAAAAGTGGTTTGCAAGATTATGTTGTGCCTAGGTGTAACGGTGCATCTGAATGCATCCTTACATATAATTATAATTAATTAATACAATTTAAATAAAATTATATTCTAATTATAAAATAAAAACAAATTAATTTGTTTGTATCTTGTTAATTAAAATATTATATCTCAAGATATTAATCTTAAAATAGTTATTTCAATCCGCGCACCCGTAAACTTCTTGTTGTTCATCGATCTCTAAATTGCAAGTGTTCGGTAGGATTCGGAGACGCTTTCATTATACCTGTGACTGCTTGAAGTACGCAACGCACGTGACCCTAAACGTACGACCGTTGAACTTGCTAACCTACCTTCAATTTTTTTCTCCTTTATAACACTAGCATTTTCTCTTGTATCCTGGAGGCAGTTTACAAACATAAATTGCACAAGAACAAACATCCAGACCCGGAACAATTACGTGTACGCTATAGAAATACTTGCTACGTGCGGGATTCAAACCCGTGGTCGCCAGAGCTGCAACTCAAAAGAAACGGTGCGGTAGTCACTTAACATAAGGTGAATAGTGTGCTCGTTTGCTCCCTTTCTCTAAAAAAATGCTTCTGGCATGCCATGCAAGAGTAGCCATCTTTCGCTTTCCCCGCATTTCCTGGCGATCCATTCCAAGCCCTAAAAACTCCACTTGCTGCTGCAAAGTATATAATACAACCACAATAAACGTTTTAAAAGAGTCAGCAGCGATAGACAAGGTGGTAGCAGAGGTCTTGCCTGTTGATTTTTTTGCAAATCTTGTTGAAATTCGTCCATTTTCATGTAAACCTTTGCAGACATTGCAGAAAATGATTGCTTCAATGAATCCTTACTGTGTCTCTTGTAAGTGGAAAATAAAATAAATCGAAATTATCACAAGGATTTCTTTTGCTGGTAGGTAGTGTAACTCACATGTACCTAATTTACAATAAAAATTTAACCACTGAGTTATCGTCGCTTATGGTCGCTACCAATCTGTTTCCTAAATAAGTTTTGTAAGGAGTTTGTAAAACCTTCCATATTGTCTAATTTACTTTGAAAAAAAAATCCCTCTGGGTTTCTAGTAGTTGCTTGTTCGTCCCACGACAGAGTCTTTTTTCTGTATCAGTGATAAAAGAAAAAAAATCACTTTCAATAAGAATTAAATGTAATTACTTTGAATAAAAGTTATTCTATTCTATTATGTGAAGGATATAACAAAATTAATTTCTATTTGGAAGACAAACATCACCATAGGCTCTTTTATGTACCTGTTGGTATGTTTCTGGTGAATTTGATATCGTAAAGATTTCTTTACAAAATCAATGACGACGTTATTTACTCCTGCCCCGTAAAATATTTCTTTATATTTCTATTAATACCTGCGTGTTCACTTGTAGGAAGCAAGATTTTCCATTTTACTACGCTGCGCTCGAGTCAAAATTGACACTACAGTTTTCTGAATAGATTTTAAATCTGAAGACGTCTTCGGTAATCGACTCAATGCGTCTGCAGCTGCATTGTTTCGACCCGGGACATATTCTATTTCAAAATCGTATTCTTCGAGATAAAACCTAAATTTGGTAAGCCGATTTGAGGGGTCCTTTAAACTGAACAGATAAATAAGGGGTTTGTGGTCTGTAGCAATTATGGACTTTCGTCCTTATAAATATGATCGAAAACGTCTTACACCCCAAACTACAGCTAAAAGCTCTAATTCTTTAATTCTGCAGGTTTTAAGTTACGGCTTGCATAAGCAAAACCTCGCCATTTTTATTTAATAATACGGCACCTAATCCCGTTTCACTTGCATCTGTCCATAAACATTATCATCAGAAAAATCTGGACATTGCAATATTGGAGGATTCGTTAAGACTGTTTTTAACTTTTGAAAAGCTAACTTATGTTCGTTTATCTACTCAAACTGCACATTTTTCTTGCAGAATTTATTCAATGGAAATACAATGTTAGCAAAATTATATATAAATCATATACATTAATAAGCAAACCCGACGAAATGTTTTACGTCATCGCTATTTGCTAGGGTCAGATAGTTTTGCAATACCTTTATTTTGCTTTCATCAGGAAAAATACAATCAGCTGTAATTTTGTGCTTAAGTAAACAATTTCTTTGCGTAAAAAGTCACATTTGAGGGAATTTAACTTTAAGTTGACTTATCGTAATCATTCTAAGAGACATGAGATTTTTGTTATGGTTAACCATGGATTTACCGATAACTATGCAGTCATCTAAGTAAACAAAAGCCTAGTAATAGTTAATCCCTGACAAAGCTACAGTCATTAAGCGTGAGAATATATTGGTAGATGTCTTAAGACCCATTGGGCAATGTTTCTTTTAATACATCGTATTGTTAGCAGTGAATGCCGTTCACTTACGCGATTTTTAGATAGTGAATAAATCTTGTCGACACCAAAAGCTGTATACTTTCTAGAGTTTTCATCTAAATATAGCTTAAATTATGATTGTTTAAGGTCTAATTTTGAAAAATAAATACTACCAGAAGGATTATCTAAAATATCCGTAATATTTGGTATTAGAAATTTGGCGTCTTGAATACAATTGCTTAATCGGCGATAATCGACAACTAACCTCTACATTCCGTATCTAAGTTGAAGCCAATTCAGTTTTTGAAAATATTAGTTTATATATAGTTCCACTAGATGTAGATTATTATAATTTTGAATATATATTAGCTATTCAATATAATATAAGTAAGTTAGTAGAAGCTTACCCTCTGCAAACTAAGGATGCAGTAACCGTGTCTCAAAATTTCGTAAATAACTTTCTTTTGCGATATGGCATTTCAAGTAAAATTTTAACAGATCAGGAAACAGAATTTTTGTCCAAAGTCTTAGCAGAAGTATGTAGTTTATTAAAAAATAATAAGTTGCATACGACAGCTTACGACCAACAAACTATCGGTTCTCTTGAAAATGCACACAAATCACTAGGAGCTTTTCTTAGAATAAAATGTGAGGAAAACAAATCCAATTGGAGTACATGATTACTCTACTGGTGTTTTCTTTCAATAAAATGATAAATTCAGAGATAAAGTACGGGCTGTATATAATA